GAAAGGACATTCATGATCCTGTCCGTCGAGCCAGTACCCGCCACCAGGAGGCAGCACGATCATCGGGTAGGGTGCCGATTTCTGCAGCGTCTCCTCCAAAAGGCGCTGAGACCCACCACAAGGAGGCGTCGCGGTGACAGTTGAGCGACTGTCCTCACGGGAAGCCTGCAACATCAAAACGAGAATTGCGGGTAAGGGACTTGTCACCTGTGCACAGTGCGTCATCGATCAGCTTGGGAAGTTTTGCCCGGGGCTGACGACCCTGTTAGGAAATGTAGACAAGGATTTAAGTTTTGGGTGGGATTTTTGTGAACAGGTATTGAATCTCCGAGTTGCACATGGCAGCGAATTTTTTTTACCAATTGCGAAAATACAACATTTTGAAGAAAGACCCTACACCGGGAAGTTAAAATAATAAATAATAATAACAACAACAACTGAAGCGAGTAAGTAGGCAGAAAGGATTGAAAATAGACAGAAACGACAAAAGACGTATATTGATTTTAATTCGCCACGATGCCTCGAACTAACGAGCAATGCCTTGCATTCTGTATCACCAATTAGCAATGAGAATAGCACACAACTTACAGCAAATAAGACCGTCACATTCCGAGGCGTAAGAATGGAGCCTGACCTCCTGGCCTGAAGCCAGTACAGCTTACAAACTTTCTCTACCGCCATTACAATAACAGACACGAAACAGTGAGACCAAACCTCATACCATCACAACTTCCAGCGCTCCAAATCACGAAGCCTCTTAAACATGAACACAAACTGCAGGGCCTACTTTATAAAATAGCGTCTATTCGCGCGGTAAGCAGTTCCGGATCCGGGCAGACCGCGTGTACAGAGAACAGTTAAACATGTAGTTAGCGTCTGTCATGTTTGTGCTTACGAAGATCCAGTTCAATGACATGTGTAAAACATCTTTTAAGCCAAGGAAAACAGTGAAACGTCTTATGCTTTATATATTGCCCGTCCGTCAGTCTATGACTTAGAATCAGCAGTGCCATTAGGCAACGATACACTAAAATAATTTTATTTACAATTTCTGTACCACACACCAGAATAAGGTTTACTGTAGATCTACACTTGTTTGTTCCTCAAAGAATTCCAATAGATCAACGTATACTCGAAGATGGCTGTTTTCTATGTTGTTGCGCGGCGTAGTCCGGTATACGTTTCAGAGGTGTTTGCTGCCTCCATCATCAGGGCAAAGAATTATCGCCGTGATACAAATACTAGGCACTAATTCTAAAGCTTCATGTTAGTAACTTGATCGATAAATGAAAATGATCTACACATACGGAACTTTATGTTTTACACCAAGCGAGACTGCTTACGAGTCTTTAATATCGGCCCAACATTTTGGAACAATACCACAACGAAAGGTATACTGAATGAATGTTCGAAGGTTACGCATTTGGAGAAACAAAACAAAAACGGATGTAGTTTAGATTAACATTGATTCACAATGTTACTTAGCATACCGAAGGTGAAACCATGCACAACCATTAACCACAAATGATATAACAGAGTCAGCAAAGTCTTTTCGGGTCCAGATGACATGTACAAGTACGCCGTAATGCATTTGTATTAATATCACTCTGTTCCACGTCCTTTATTTCCTTTTTGCAGTTAAGTTGCGTAAGATTAAAAAAATAAGTTGTATCCTAGTTCCTTGCTTGTTCAACATTTCTATCATACTATGAATAGTTGGTTGTGAGACACTAACGTGGCCTACTATAAGGTTCGATCACGGAACGTGGTTACAGAGATTGAAATCTGTGAAAAATTTTGGTCGTGATTGTTCATTTTCCACAGAGAATATAACCGGGGACCTCTCAAATACAGAACAAAGACATCGTAAACAATACCGAATTATGTTCAGAGAAACACACAGTAAACATATGAACTCCATATATAAACTGACACAAGCCAGACTCCAATGGCGGGCGATTCGATTACCAGAGACGACTACTAACATTGTTTAAATTACTACATCTGTAAAGTCTCTAAATTTTGGGGGCAGTTGTAAGCTGCCCCCCCCCCCCAAAGCACTGCTTTCA